TTCGTCTTCTACAGCTTGGCCGGGGAGAAAGGTCCCATAGCTTGGCCGAGGATCATACAGCCTTACAGCTCCTTTGCTGAGAGACTCCAGCCAGCCATCACCGAAACCTGAACTCCTTTTCCCCTGGAGGTCTGCAAAGCTCTGCTTGGTAAGGGTCACTCGCGGAAGCCAGAAGCAGTTGGTACCGGGTGCAGGGGCTCCACACCAACAGAGGCAAAGACAGACTGCCCAGATTAGAAGTTAAGGATTTCCCCATTAGTTAATGTACAGTTTGTGAAGATAGTGCCTGTTCCCTGTGGACAAGATTGAGAGAGAGCCAATAGACTATTAAGAAAGCCTTAAAGTACCAGTTTGTTTTCAATAATAAAGAACTTTGTTGCACTTTTAAGCAATCTAAAGACTCTGTTTTAAGGAAATCCAAAGGCCTTTAATCTGAGGCAGCCCCGGCATCCTGTTGGGCACACAGAATTTAAGTCCTGTCTACAGTTTTATGCACAGGCCCAGCGTGCGACAGCACAACCCTCCTTGATTGTCTTGTCAAGAAGCCAATATTTGCTTGTGGTATATTTGAATATGGAACATATCATTCCTCGGATTTCAGCAGAATGGACTCCTAGACAACACATCCAAGACAAGTCCAATTTTAATCTAAAATTTTAATACAAAAATAACTTAAATAAATGAATCACTATTTTGAATTCATTAATTTAGTTTGCATGAGCATTTATATACATTGCTGAGATCCTGTTCATTAGTCACAAATGGACTGGACTCATTGAATCAATTGCTGAGCAGTGGTTAACACATATGTAAATTCATTATTTTCAGTGGCTCTACTAAAGTCAGGACTACAAATGGAATGTATACCAATATTAAATTACCAGCTTGATTGCTTTTAAAATCAGCTTCTGTTTATGGAATAAGAATCTGGTCATAATTGTATGCGCTCATAGTTAGTTTATGATTTGATTTACTAACGAATGTATTTTGTTAGCGGCTTGCAATTCTCAACCTGCAATTACACAGGTACCTATGCAGGAGACACCATGCTGATTGATTCCTATTACAGGCCAAGAGTTCAGCTCATCTTCAGTTTCGTCTTCTCTCCTTCCCATGCCACTGTTCAAACTGCACTCTGTCCATATTGCCCAAATTTCTATCGGCTGAACCTTTCTCTTGAAAACTGTCAATATTCTATCAATGGACAGGGAAAGGTGAGATGGAATAAAGGGCTCAAGCAGCATTGCTGAGACTATCTGATTTATTTTCCTAAAAGTTTTCATGTGCCGTCACACTCAGAGCCTATAAAAATAAAACTAAGACGTGCTTCTCTCTTTGTCTGGGCGGACCGCGGGGGTCTTTCTTTAGAAGCTTGAGATTCCAGCAACTGAGGCTACTACAGGCTTTGAACATCAAAACAGAATATTTATTTCTCAAAGTCCTTGCAGACTTGGCACAGCTTGTTAAAGTTACAAACAAAAGAGTCAATTGGTGAAACCACAGCGATGTTCTTTCTTTCCTTTTTCCTCTAGTCTCTGAGCTGCCTTCATCCAAATGGTAGAAAAAATCCTGAGATCTTTTTACCCCAACCCTGAGCCACTATCTTTTGGAAAGAGTAGGCCTTCCCCTATTCCAGCCCAAGGTTAGTTTTGGAGAGGAAGCAAATAGTGCTCAATAACTATTTCTCAATAACTCAATATCTATCTATAACTCAATTGCTCAATTACTCAGTTGCTATTCTATCTATCTATCTATCTCATTTAGCTTCTTTATCTATATAACTCAATAACTATGTCTCAATCGTTCTTACAATGGTTTTTTCAGAGTTACCTGCCTGACCAACAGCACATCTGAAGCTTTCTTTCTCTACTGAAGGAGGCAGGGGAGATTCCAAAATGGAGATCTCAACCCTAGGAAAAAGGGCGGTCTCTAAACCCAAAGAGATACTTTTCTAAACCAATAACTGCAGAAGGCCTGCAGTCTGGCTTTCCAGACTCTGATATTGTTTAACTTCCAGGGTGCTGCTGGGTCTGTAGCAACTCTGGGGAACACTATCCCATGCAACTAAATGTAATGCAACTAAAAGGAACACTATCCCATGCAACTAAATGTAATGCAAACTATGCTTCTGGATGACGGAACATTTCATTATCCATCCACTTTCCCCATTAGTGCATTGAAGCTCATGAAAGACTTCACTAAAATAAATGTGTTGCTTGGTTGGATCACTCTGCCCACGCATCCTTTCCATTTACTGCTGAAACAAAAGTACCACGATAATCTCTTTGATATCCATTCAGCATTAATTTCCAACAGCCTTTCATTTCATGGGATTCCTTGGCATTCCGTTTCTTCTTTGGAGGAGCTGAGAAAGAAATCTCTCTATCACATCCATCTGTGGACACCTGTACACATTGTAGAGACCCCCTACTCTGAAAATATCCCTTCTTTTCATCAGAGTGTCATATTGAATTCTGGATTTTCATGTGGATGGTGATTCTATGCATACAAAGTTGACTCATGAGGTGGAAAATCCTTATGAAATGGATAAAAATCCTTATGAAATGGATAATTGTGTTCACATTTATTTATTTACAGCATTTATATTCCGCCCTTCTCACCCCAAATGGGACTCATGGCCAATCAAAGAACACATATACAGCAAACATTCAATGCCATTAAACAGACAGGACAGACAACAGATAGAGGTATTTGTCGGCATTTTCCCAACTTTGGCATCCTGGAGGTTGTGCTCGATTCCAACCACGGGGGTACTATCACTCCATCCTCTATGATGAAGAGCCCTTGATCACAGACTTCCTCCTTTCTTTGATCACCAGCATTTTCTAGTATTTCCTTTTTATGATGCCGTAAAATAACTCCCCAATTAAGTGGTGTCTAATTTCTCTACTCACAGCCCACAGCTGTTTTCAAACTGCTTAGATGGACAGTGAGCTGGGCTGAATGTCAAGTGCTCACCCTGACCTGGGCTTCGAACTACCAACCTTTCCATTGGTATAATCTATTGCTGTTGATGATTAACCAGCTGTGCTAAAGCCTGGCCTTTGAACTTTATGAAAGCCTTTGTTGGTTTTGTCAACTTTAGATAAGTAGAAAATGGTATTATATTAAAACATGTGCGCCAGCTGCGCCCATACCTTGGGAAGTGTGATCTGGTCACAATGGTCCACGCTCTTGTTACATCCTGAATAGATTACTGCAACGCACTCTACATGGGCTTGCCTTTGAAGACTGTTCGGAAACTTCAATTAGTCCAACAGGCGGTGGCTAGATTACTCGCCAGAGCATCATACAGGGAGCATACCACCCCCCTGTTATGTCAGCTCCACTGGCTGCCGATCCAGTTCCGAGCACAATTCAAAGTGCTGGTTTTGACCTACAAAACCCTATACGGCTCCGGCCCAGCGTACCTCTCCGAACAGATCTCCTTCTACGTCCCACCTCGGAGTTTAAGATCCTCTGGGGAGGCCCTGCTCTCAGCCCCACCTTTATCACAAGTGAGACTGGTGGGGACGAGGGACAGGGCCTTCTCGGTGGTGGCCCCTCGCCTGTGGAATTCGCTCCCCGGGAAATTAGGTCATCAACATCCCTCCTCTCTTTCAGAAGGAAGTTAAAAACCTGGATATGGACAAGGCCTTTGGGTAAGCTGGTAGATGGATAAAAGACAATGACGACCAGAGTAGGAAAGGACTATGACAATGCTGGATGGATTATGGATTTATGAATTGGTGAACGTTGACCACAAAACGATTTTATTGCTGCTATTGTATTAATTTGATTGTTTTAACTAGTTATAATTGTTGTTGTTATATTATATTTGGTATATTGTATTTTGTGAACTGTTGGGCATCGAATTGTGCCTTTTGTAAGCCGCCCTGAGTCCCCCCTAGGGGGTTGAGAAGGGCGGGGTAGAAGCACTCAAAATAAATAAATAAATATTACTGTCTAGACAAGTAACAAATAGAGTTATTCTGTATTACTATTACTGTTACTATTGTTATCCTACTAGTCTGCCAATCTGGGATACAAAGTAGCTTATGATGCAATGAAAACAATGTATATTGCTGTCATTAAAAGACCATTCAAAAGACAATGGTGTTACAACTTACCTTTAACCCACTTAAAAATATGTTTCAAACACAATGAAGGACATTGTCCAGAACACCTACTTACTTAGCACCGGGATTGTGGCGCAGCTGGCTGAGTGTCAGCTGCATTAAGACCACTCTGACCAAAAGGTCACGAGTTCGAAGCCAGCCCGGGTTGGAGTGGGTTTCCAACCAATTGTGTAGCCTGTTGTCGACCTTTGCAACCCAAAAGACAGTTGCATCTGTCAAGTAGGAAAATTAGGTACCACCTTGTGTGAGGAGACTACATTAACTAATTTATGAGGCCATAAAAAAGACTCCAGCAAAGCACTCCAGCAAAAAAGCGGAAGTACTCATCAGTGTTGCAGATGGACAATGAAAGCGACAGCTCCCTTGGAAGCCAGAAAAAGTTAAATAGCCTCTGTGTATGTCTGTATATGTTGTATGTCAAAATTGGCATTGAATGTTTGCCATATATGTGTATACTGTAATCCGCTCTGAGTCCCCTGCGGGGTGAGAAGGGCGGAATATAAATACTGAAAATAAATAAATAAAATACTTTACCTGTTAAGTCTTTACTTGCTGATTTTTTAAAGGTTCTGTTTTGTATAACCTTTCTGTTTTTATCGAGTTATTTTTTGGACGACAGCTGCAACACACAATGATTTTACATCCTAGGTAATTTTGAAAGCCGTCTTTCAATTTCAGTACATTACTAGTATTACCAATACTACAACCAAACATACTACTAATATATTTTTATACTATCAAACTTTTACCCGAGTTTTTTTCCTGATAATTCTTTTGTTCACCTTCACCATAGAAAAATAACAATTTACAACATTCTACACACACTTTTCTGACTCAGATTCCTTATTTCTAAAGAAGTACCTTTATCAATGTCTTGTGATTGGCATTAATCCCAAACTTTACCCGCCATAGACCTCCAACGACAGGAAAGGCAAAGGGTCCAGGGGGATACAGTCGCCGTGACCACAGCTGTCTCAGATAGTACAGAAGATGAAGAATCCCCAGAAGAGCCCCTAAAATGACTGGGATCCCCACCATTCTGCTGCCTTATCTTTGAGTATTTTCAAGCAGCGATGGGAGAGATGGAAAGAAGCTGCTTGGATCTTCTTTCCTCAGTGATGAAGCCACCTCCCTCTCTCTCTGTCTCCCTCTTTTCTAAGGACATCATTATACATGTATATATAATATATATTCCATATATTTAAAAAACACACAACTAATTTGCTGATGGCCTATCCAAGTAGCCTTGAAAATTTGCCCTCTGCCAAACAATTCTTATTATCAGGAAGCTCTTCCTCATGTTCAATTTTAATTCACTACTCCTTCGTCTCTGGAGCAACTGAAATCAAGGTTGTTGTTGTATGCCTTCCAGTCGTTTTCTGACTTATAACAACCCTATATCATGGGAATTTCTGAAGCTAAGAGTGTGTGACATGCTTGAGATCACCCAGTGGGTTTTCAGGGCAAAGTTGGGATTCAAACCCTCTTTTCCAGAGTTATAGTCCAATGTTCAAAGCAGAACATCATGCTGGATTCAACCTCAAATCAGAATAGAGCACTATTATTACTTAATATAACAAGTTTGCTGTTGTGGGAGTTGAAGTTCAAAACACCTGATCTAGACACTATGCCAGAGCTTTCCAAACTTTTCATGTCGGTGGCATGCTTTTTAGACATGCATCCTTTCTCAAAATGGCAATTCAGTTTTACTAGCAAACCAGAGGTCAATACATCATCATCGTCATCATCATTATTTAGATAAACAACAGGATTAGGACACAGCAAACAAGATCAGTATGCTGGCTTTTGTATTGGATCACAAGTTGGACACTTCCCACGCGTCTAGGACTGTGTGATATATTGGTGAATAATGCATGCAAATCCAAGTAGGGTGGCCTTTTGCAGCTGACAGGTGGTGATTTGGTCAGCGTCAATTGTTTTTGAGTGCAGGTCAAGGTCTTTAGGTCCTGTACCCAGTGTGCCAATCACCACTGGGACCCCCTTTACTGGCTTGTGCCAAAGTCTTTGCAGTTTAATCTTTAAATACTCATATTGTGTAAACTTTCCAGTTGTTTCTTGTCAATTCTACTATCACCTGCATCGAAATAATAGTCCTCCACCATCAACTCCACTGGACCGGCCATGTTGTCCAGATGCCCGATCACCGTCTCCCAAAGCAGTTGCTCTACTCCGAACTCAAGAATGGAAAACGGAATGTTGGTGGACAGAAAAAGAGATTTAAAGATGGGCTCAAAGCCAACCTTAAAAACTCTGGCATAGACACTGAGAACTGGGAAGCCCTGACCCTTGAGCACTCCAGCTGGAGGTCAGCTGTGACCAACAGTGCTGTAGAATTTGAAGAGGCACGAATGGAGGGCGAAAGAGAGAAACATGCCAAGAGGAAGGTGTGTCAAGCCAAGCCTGACCGAGACCGCCTTCCACCTGGAAACCAATGCCCTCACTGTGGGAGAAGATGCAGGTCAAGAATAGGGCTCCACAGCCACCTACGAACCCACCCCCAGCACACTGAACTTGGAGGACCATCATCCTTGGACTACGAGGGATCACCTAAGTAAGTAAGTACTATCACCTGGGATTGCAACATCAACTATCCATACTTTGTTTTTTACACGATCGTGAGGTCAGGAGTCTTGTACTCCAGAACTCTATCTGTCTGAATTCGGAAGTCCCAGAGTAATTTGACGTGTTCATTTTCCCTTGCTTTTTCAGGCTTGTGATCCCACCAGTTCTTTGTCACAGGCAGATGATATTTGTGGTGGCACAAGTTCCAATGGATCATCTGAGCCTCTGCTTTTAGTCTATCTGCACGATCTTCTTGCAGCAGCTGAGGATGAGATCCATCGTTTCCTCTGCTTCCTTGCAGAGTCTACACTTGGAATCTGTCGTTGACTTTTCAATTCTGGCTTTGATGGCATTGGTTCTAATGGCTTATTCTTGGGCTGCCAGAATCAGGCCCTCCATCTCCTTTTTCAAAATCCCATTTGTGAGCCGCAGCCATGCTTTTTCTTTGTCAATTTTACTCTCAATTTTTCCCCAGGAACTGTCGATAGAGAGCCTTATTTTGTCAGTTTTCTCTTCTGCTTTGTATTGCAGTTTTGTGGTATTCACTCTTTGTCTTTTGCACTTTGAGTTGTCTTCTACTATTGACTTCCCTCAATGTTGGTTCTTGAGTGCCTTTCACATAATCTGCCAGTGCATGTTTCTCTTTTTCCATCATTTGTTTCACTTGCAGAAGCCCTCTCTCTGCCTCCTGATTTTCTGGGCAGGTAAAGTCTGTCGACATCACTATGCAGGTGTCATGAATAGAGGACTGTCATTGGTTTTCTTGTTTTTCCATCCAGATCATCCAGCTCTGCTTGTGTCCAGGTCACAATCCCAGCAGTGTATCTAATGACGGGGATGGCCCAGGTGTTGAGAGCCTTGATCGTATTTCTGCCATTTAATTTGCTCTTCAAATTTTTTCTGACCCTTTGGACATATTCTTTGCTGACCACATTTTTCACATGCCCATGCTTGATATTGTCCAGCTGTAGTATGCCCAGAGATTTATAGGCTTCAGGCTGATTGCAATTCATGGTTTGTCCATTTGGCATCTCTATGCCCTCGCTGTGAGTAATTTTCCCTTTCTTTAATGCCACTGTAGCACATTTGTCTAGGCCAAACTCTGTATTGATGTCAGTGCTGAATATTCTGACTGTGTTGTTGTGGTTGTGGTTGTGGTTGTTGTTGTTGTTGTTATGGATGCCCTGATTAATGATGACCAAAGGGGACTCAAAGCAACCCCTTATAATAGTTTCATACAATATACTGTATATACCACATAACATATGTATTCTATGTATGTTTCATATAATCATTACTATATAAACAAGTGATATCAGTGTTTACACTTGAATAGCACCAACATTTCACTTCTATCATGATTAAACCTCTCTGGAGGTTTTTAAATGGAGGTTGGATTGTGCATTCCTTCCTGGATGAAGGAGGTTGGACTAAATGCTGAGAGCAGGACTTCCCCAATAGATCTTAATCTATAAACTGGTTCATAGAGGGAGATAACATTCAGACAGGTAAGTTGGACTGAAGCCATTTAAGCTTTATAGGCTAACTTGCATGCAGAACACATCATGCGATGTGCAGGGCTTGACGAATGCAAGGCTGGGGTGAAAATTGCTAGAAGAAACATTAACAACCTTAGATATGCAGATGACACCACTTTGATGGCCAAAAGCAAGGAGGAGCTGAGGAGCCTTCTAATCAAGGTGAAATAAAAACCCACAAAAACTGGGTTGCAGTTAAACATAAAAAAACAAGATTATGGCAACAAGAATGATGACTGGGAAATAGAGGCTTACTTCTTGGGAGGAGAGCAATGACCAATCTCAATAAAATAGTGAAGAGTACAGACGTCACACTGGCAACGAAGATCCACATAGTAAAAGCAATGGTATTCCCTGTAGTCACCTACGGATGTGAGAGCTGGACCATAGGGAAGGCTGAGCACAGGCAGATAGATGCTTTTAAACTGTGGTGTTGGAGGAAAACTCCGAGAGTGCCTTGGACAGTGAGAAGATCCAACTAGTCCATACTTCAGGAAATAAAGCCCGACTGCTCATTGGAGGGAAGGATAATAGAGGCAAAGATGAAGTACTTTAAGTTCTTGTGGGTTTTTTCGGTCTATATGGCCATGTTCTAGAGGCATTTCTCCTGACGTTTCGCCTGCATCTATGGCAAGCATCCTCAGAGGTTGTGAGGTCTGTTGGAACTAGGAAAAAGGGTTTATATATCTGTACTTTGGCCATATCATGAGAAGACAGGAAAGCTTAGAGAAGACAATTATGCTGGGGAAAGTGGAAGGAAAAAGGAAGAGGGGCCGACCAAGGGCAAGATGGATGGATGAGATCCTTGAAGTGACTGGATTGACCTTTAAGGAGCTGGGGGTGGTGACGGCCGACAGGGAGCTCTGGCATGGGCTGGTCCATGAGGTCACGAATAGTTGGAAACAACTGAACAAATGAACAAAAAGGATAAAGCCAGCACTTTGAATCGTGCTCGGTATCTAATAGACAGCTAATGGGGTTGCCGCAACAGGGGGGTTGTATGCTCTCTGTGCAATGCTCCAATTAACTACATGGCTGTGGAGAACTGGACTATTTGCAACTTCTGAACAGTCTTTGAAGGCAACCCCACATAGAGCGCATCGCAGTAGTCTAAATGGGATGTAATAAGAGCATGGATTACCGTGGCCAAGTCAGACTTCCCAAGGTACGGGCACAGTTGCAGCACAAGTGTTAGTTGTGCAAATGCCCCCCCAGTCACCACTGACACCTGGGGTTCCAGGCTCAGCGATGACTCCAGGAGGACTCCCAAACTGCAAATATGTGCCTTCAGGGGGAGTTTAACCCCATCCACAACAGGCTGGATGAAATTTAAAGCCATGGCTCAGTGTGCAGGTGCGGCTGTGCTGGGAGCTCCAATTTTATTTGCTTTGCATTGAATGTTTGTTGTAGTCCTGGTTTTCGGGGGCTCTGCGGGTGGGTGGTTTCTTTTGGTTGCGGTCGTGGGGCAGGCCGCCTGTCAATTGTGGTTGGGTTCCCTGGTCCCGCCCCCTTTTTGGGTTTTGGAGGGAATGGGAGCCGTTTTGGGTCAGTCCACACAGAGAAGTCTTTCATGAAGGACATAATACCAAGAGCTCCTGTAGAAAGCTTCGTCTTCTACAGCTTGGCCAGGGAGATATACAGCCTACAGCCTGACCGGGGTTGTACAGCCTTACAGCTCCTTTGCTGAAGGACTTCATTCAGCCATCACGGAAACCTGAGTTCTTTCCCCTGGAAGTCTACAAAGCTCTGCTTGGTAAGGGTCACTTGCGGAAGCCAGAAGCAGTTGGTACCGGGTGCAGGGGCTCCACGCCAACAGAGGCAAAGACAGACTGCCCAGATTAGAAGTTAAGGATTTCCCCATTAGTTACAGTTAAGAAGATAGTGCCTGTTCCCTGTGGGCAAGATTGAAAGAGTCAATAGACTGTTAAGAAAGCCTTAAAGTACCTGTTTGTTTTCATTAATAAAGAACTTTGTTGAACCT